GGTTTTGTTGCCTTTTTAAACAACTTGCTCCAAACATTTTTACTTTTTGACTGTTTTCTAATCAAGAGGAGCTTAGTGCAGACAAATTGATTATCCTTGAACGTTTGTCACATGATTAAAAAAATGCAATCACATTACTTTTGCTCCAAAGTCATGTGAGAATCTTGGTTGAGTAAGCACATTATCTGTGTCTAATGTTGGTTTGTGTAATACAGGAACCTGAATCCCTCCAAAAAGCTGCAAGTTCTTCCGAAACAAGGAAGTTGAAATTAATTAACTCCGCAAAGAAGGTTATGTTTTCTTCAGTGTTTGAGTGATAGCAGGATTACACAGAAACTGCAGAACCAATTTTCATCAAATTTGGTATAGTTAGGCTAGAACACAATACATTTTGATGTGGATCTAGTTCAGGGGCAGGATCTAGGATTGTGTGTCTTTTGTGTCAATTTTCCTTTATTCTCAGAGAATAACTCATGAATCTTGATGACTAAATCAGGCATGTTTAGGAGACTGATATTTGTGAGTCTGCAAATTGGTGTTGATCCAAATAAGAATACAGAGCTGGTGAATTTAAATGTGGTTTCATAAGGGGAACGTTGGACCTTGGCAGATGTCAACATATTAAATATTGTGATATGCATTTTATAGTTTCTACACAGAGACTGGGGCAGAAAATAAGGGAGCATAAGGTTTCTTATAATGTCATTAACGGACTGGAAAGTGCTCTGTTTGTGCACAGTTCATAAAGTTTCTTCTGATCTTTTATCCACAGCTGAAGAAACAGCAGTTTTTTCCTTCATAATGTAGTTTGCAGATGATTCTTTACAACCACTGCAGAACATAATACACTATCTGTCAAAGCCGTGGAAAGTAGTAATTTTTCACTGCGGCAAATTAAATCACTTGTCTTCTTCAAGAGAAATGCATCAAAGGAAATTGGATCAAGGGTTTAACACAGTAAATGACATCAGTGGTTTGAACATAAAGACGTGCAGGATGAAAATAAGGCTGATATTTAGTGACCGTGTGTGAGAGAGAGGTACCTCTCTGTTGTAAAGCGGCTGCTGGCCTGGGGTCAGAGGGTGTGAGAGGGGCGTCTGGGCAGGTGGTGGTGGAAGTGCTGATTCCTCAGGGAGTGCTGCTCTCTGAGGGGAAGGCAACGCACCAGCTGGAGGGGGAGGATGAGGAGGAGGAGGACGGCACTCTGACAGCAAAAAGACATAATAATAACAAAATAAATTTTAAAAAAAGGTTGAGATACAAAATAATGAAATAAAAACAATGATAAAATCTTGCATGTTCCAAAAACTGTTCATTGCTGATAATACTTTTGTCCTAATAACATAAATATATATACAGAGTCTAGAACATACATGAGTAGGGAAGAATATTTGTAAGATTTCACTGCACTGGTGTTACACTATTATAACACTGTTGTAACCATGATGGACACAGAAGGATCATAACAGATGCAGCATAACCAGGCATATCTTGTTCCCCCCAACTCATTCTTCCTCTTTGTCAAAACCTGGCATCTAAATTACCCACAATGTAGTTATTGCAGCTACTCAAGTTATCTCACTAAGCCACTAGCCTCAAGCAGAGATGAGGAGCAGGCAGGCTACTGAGGTTTGAAAGCTCAGTGGCTTTATTTCATTTGCCAAGGAGGTTATGTTTTTACCTCTGTCTGTTGGTTTGTATGTAAGCAAGATTATACAAAAACTAATGACTGGATTTCCACAATAACTGGGTGGGGGAATAGAACATAGAAGCAGAGGAACCCGTTATGGTGCAGATTCAGACAAGGGGGCTGTTTCAGGAAGATTTTTTAAATGATCTTTTATGCAGTAATTTGTAACGTTTGAACCATTTCCCGACACATTTGCAGAAATCTCGATGAAAAAAATCGGGTTAGTGTGTGAAATGTGGTGTGGCTTGATTGTTGGACCTTGACAGAGGTTTGCACTCTACTGAGTCACATTCTAGTACTTGATCTATACGATACTGTTTTCACATATCTAATAGTGTCTCCAACATCTGTTAAGTATCTATAAAATCAGTGGAGTTAAGACATCTTGCAATAAAAGACAGGGAGCAATATCCCTTATAAAGTGCAGATATTGATAACGTATGAAGTGGAATCACACCACCTGAACAGAGGATTCAAAAATATGAACTATTATATAAAAAAAGATGTTGTCATGTACCTGCAGCAGCTCTGTCGTCGTCTGTCTTCTTTCCTCTGCTGGGTCCAGGCTGGGCAGGTTTTGGACTCTGAGGGCCTGAAACTTGGGTCAAGGCTCCTGCATGACCCCGGTCTTTGCTGTCTACGCTGCTGTGAGACTCAGGTGAAGAGAAGACGTCTTCTTTCCTGTGTCTCAGGACGGGGACACTTTCACTTGGGCTGACTCGCACAGCCGTGTGCTGCTTGTCTCTAGCTGTGGAACTGTGGGCTTGGAGGGTGGGCTGCTGCTGCTGTGTCACCGTGGCTCGGTAGGGGGATGCCAGAGTGATAAAGACGGAGGACACCATCCTCTTTGGTGGAGCTGCTGATGCCATGACTGTATTCAACCCACACACAGTCTAACAGGAAGAAAGCACAGAGATTATCATGACTCAATACTGCTCGTAACATTTATTGTTTTACAGAGCAGTTTAACAGGACAGTCATAGGATCTACGTGACCTTTTTAATCATCAAGAATAAGATTAAAACATAAATAAGGAACATTTTTCCCTCTAAGATGAAGAATATTTAATCTGAGCGTCTCAGTTTACTTTGTGGGAGCTCTCACTTTCACAATACAAAAACACACACACTCACATCCCTCTTTACCTATAATGAATGGTTATAGAGGCAGAAAGCACAAATCTGAGATATCTGTAACCCCCTCACCGTGGCTGTGAGCTACCATTACCTACCTGGGAGAAACTGTGGTTTGAAGATGTCTCTCTCTCCCTCTTTTCCTCTCTCTCTCTCCTTCTCCCTATTCTGTGTCTCTAAACTTTTGTTTTCCCTCCTGTGTGCTGCCACAGTGAGAAGACTTTACTCCGGCAGAGAGGGCGACTATCTGCAGAAGGCCACTCCTTTTCCTCCTGCACCTCCCTTCCCAACTCTCTCGTCCGCCGACCCCTCCTCCCTCCCCTCTCTGGTCGAATGAAAATACCACCTCCCTCCCAACCGTAAAAGGTGAACAGTTAATCTCGGGCAAAGTGCAGTAAAAAAAACATGACACATTCATCCACTGTGAAATCTCTGAAGACACACACACACACTGACATACATGCACGCAGACACACACTCATGCAACTGTTGCAATCCAGCCAAGCAAACAGACTGGCCCTTCAACAAATATAATAACTCCTACAGTATCATAAAGTTTCTCCAAAGGTTTTCACCCTTAAATAGACAAGCGTAGGCAAACAGAGCCACCTCCCACTTCTTTATCTTTGTGCATGCCAGCAGGATGTGACTGTACCTGCCTTTCTACCTCGAGTGGCCCTCTTTCTCTCTCCCCTGTGCAGCTCTGCCTTATTGTTCTGTCAGCTTTATTTTCCCTACCTCCCTCATTGAGTCTGCCTCCTTTTTTCTTCTCCCTCTTTCTCTTTCCTCCCTTCCCCCCACTACATTATATCAGTCCAGCCTTGACTTACTATCAGCGAGTTACGGCGTTGCCTCCATTGGCTCCTCACTGACGTGCAGAGCAGAGCACACTGTCTGATTACATGTGTTGGACTCTCCTGATCAGGCTTTTTGTTGTTCTGCTCTACAGGAGCAGCAGCATTACAGAGCAATGAATCACTGCATTGTGCAAGAGGAGATGTTGGTATATTAGGAGAGGTGGGGGGGAACAGTGAGTGATGTCTGTGAGAGCTATGAAAAAGCTGCTTTGTTGTGTTTGCCGCTCTCCACCAGAATGAGTCTGAGTGCTATCAGGTCTGCTGATCAGCAAATATTGTGTTCGGTTTCCGGAGGCAAACTTTGTGAGTTCTACCGTCTCTCCGAGAGTCAAAAAGGAGGATGGTGTGAGCTGAAGCTAAACTTTCCTGATCGAGGCGGAGGAATGTGTGAGAGGGGGTTAAAAGGAGACGGAGATGAGGAGAGTGATGGGGGTCTCTGTTGTTCCAGCTCTGTGGAAAGGAATGCTGCAGTGATGTCACGGCTGCAGGAGGGAGCATGCCTGCTGATGACACAATCCCCAGACCTCCACGCTCCGCCCACCTCACAGCCACAATCCTCATTAAACCCTCTGAACCTCTTCGCTGCCTCTAACAGCACGACTTTCCATTTGACTCACCACCATAACATTATGTGTCTCTACTTCAGTGGCAGTGGATGTGCAGACAGAATATGGAGGGAAATTTGAAGGGAACGCAACAGGAAGAAACACAGGATAAAGGAAAACCAATGACAACTGCATGTTCACAATTACACTTGATGCTTTTTTTCTAAATGTGAACATCTGGAGCGGCGGTAACAAATCTACTGAAAAGAAATACTTCTGAAGAAAATGATTAAAAGTAGTTTTCTATTTAAAACTGCTTTCAGTAAAAGTTAAGACAGGACTTCAGCAGTTAGGCCACAATGGATTCTGAGAAACAGCCTCAACAGAGTTCGAAATAATTTTCCTTTTAGGCCCAAGGGAGGGTAAAGTTCAGAAAATGTGGACCCTACATTTCCCATGTTGCATCTGGACAATGTTGCAATTAAACTCCCCTGCCACTTACATTTCCACTCACACAACCAGTTTATAATGCAGACTCTCCAGAGTCACAGAAGACATAAAACATGTATTTTAAGGGAAGCAATAATAGTACTGCTTTTACAGAGTGATCTGATATCAGACATTTGTTTTATTACTTTATTTTATTGTTTTTGTTACTATACAGCTTTTAACCAAACATCTGTGTTCTATTGCTAAAGTACTATAAAAATAAATTGTATTCTTATTATATTATTATTTGATCATCAATAACGGGTCACTTTTCTACGTAGGGCAAGACAGCTCAACACACTGCACATTTAGAAAACAACTTCATCAATTTGACGACACATGCTCTGCAAAATGTCACCACACGTGCAAATGCAGAAACAGATCAATCCCTCTGCTAGGCATCAGCATTTTTTAACATTAATCATAAAGGAAGTGTTTCTCTAAGAATCAAAAAGTAAATATTTGATTATTCATATCTGCTTAAGCTCCTATTTATCAATTTCCCAAAGGGCAGTTATCAATAAAGTATTTCTGATTCTGATTGTTTAAAATCTTCTGATATCACTATTGGTTGATTCTTCACATTAATACTAGAAACAAAACAGCAGCAGTGATTTGAAGCACAGTTTAAGAGAGGCCACAATAATCGTTTTATTAAATAAAGTTGAATATCAGTGTATCTTAATATTTGAGGTAGTGATGAGTTAGATCTCAGGTAGATCTATCAGCTGTCGTCTGATGATGGTTTCCTTTTGACTTTTTTGTGACCAGAGATCTGCTCTTGTTTTCTCGGGCTTGTTTCTTCTTCTTCCTGCAAACGGAGCATGACAAATAAACATCTCTTGTCATTTTCACATTTCTCAACACTACTGACACCTAACAGTTATATACTGAACATAAAGCAATGGGAAACATGCAACATATAGGTTTTGGTGGGGATTTATTTATACAGACCCTTGACACGGCCTGCAGCAGGTCCTGAGAGGGCAGCAGACAGGCTGCTTCACCCAGGAAAGAGATGAGGACGTGCAGGACGTCAGACCAGTCGCCCACTGTCAGCATGAGCACCAGTAAAGCTCCCAGTCGCAGCACGGCCGTGTGCCAGAGGGCCTCCGCTCCTGTCTGCCGATTCTGATCCTCTGCATAACAACACAAAGTTACACAATGATGTTATGTGCTTGAGTGTTTTCTGAGATATGGATTTGGTTTTGGGTTTTAAATGTATTAGGTTTGTTTATTTGGTATATCTAGTGTCTCTTTTCACATTTCTACTACTCTAATATGGGTTAGTTTATGTTTTAGTGCCAGTTGTCTTTAATTTATCCCATTATCTACTCACCACTATGCTGAACGAGGGGTGGAGTTTCGTGGACAAAGTGTTTTGTGGACTCAAACACTTTCACCCTCCATCGGCATAGTGGTGAGTAGATGAGTGAATTTATTTTACGCCTTTAAGTTTATCTAATCTTAAATTTGTACTATCTCTTTAAGAACAATTTTCATTTCCCACATCATTCCCCTGACCATTACCTTGAATGTAGACAACCAGCATGGTGTAGCAGAGTGTCAATGGAGTCCATAACTTCAGAGAATCCTTCTGGGACAGGAAGTGGTCATATACTGTGGAGAAGGAAGCCACAGTTGCAAAAGCAAAGGCCAAGATAACCGCTCTCTGCAGTGAGGTCAGTATGGTGTGTCCTGAGGTCAGGAGGGTGATGCATTTCCCACAGTAACGCTCTGTGCTATGCAGCGGGTAGAGTCTGGCCACATGGCTCCACAGACTGTGGCTGACACTTGCCAGTGCCCAGCTGATCGAAGCTGCCAGGAACAAGTTGAGGGAGCTGTGTAGAGCCCCCTGGTGGAGGAAGACCAGAGCACAGGTGAAGCAGCAACCAAGGGAAAACTGGCACTGGAGCAGGAGGAGGTATAGGCCTCTGCCATCCTGAGTAAAGACGGATTAAAGCATGGATGAAAATGAGTCAGATCAGTGTATCAGAGGATACATATGTTGAACACAAGAACAAACACTGAGTGTCTCCTGAATTAAATGTAAAATAAGACAAAATCAGCGTTTTCAGCTGCTCTGTACGTCTGTTGGAGGAACTCACCAGACCTGCTGATGCCCAAGAGGAAACAGCTCTGAGAGAAAACTCCAGCACTATGATAGAGGAGACCCTGGAGCCCACTAGAGACAGGACGAGTGTCAGGGACCAGAACTGGAGTGCTGTCTTCCAGTTCCCTCTCAGGGGATTGACGGGTGAGGACGACCTCTGCTTACTTTCAGTTTCAGACTCACTGTGTTGAAAGACACACAGAATAACTCAGCAACCTGCTCTTAAAGGTTCACTACATTTTGCTCTTTCTTTTCTCCACCATAAACTCACCTGCATGTTTGTAGGAAATAGTAAACTCTCATCAGACTGCACAGCACTGATATTGCACATGCACCCACAAGGCCTTGGAGAACAAGAAACAAAACAAAAATGTAATTTCCTTTTTTTCTAATTTCGTATTGAGGATTGAGGATTTTTAGGAATATTTACGTATGAACTCACCTTGAAAAAAACAGTCAATTGGGTTTGAATTAAAAAGTGTCCATTCAGACGTCCCCAGGATCCAGGAGAAGGGGAGAAACATGTTTGTTTCACAAAAACACTAGGATCTCTCGCACATGCTACTACAATCTGTTCAGCAAAGACGAACAAGTCAGTTTGTGCTAAATTCCTGTGAGTCAAAGCTTTGGCCAAGTATGTGAGTGTGCTCCACACTTCAGCTCCAAAGGTCAACTTTGATTTGACTGCGTTTATCTCATCTCGTCATTTCCTGATGAATAGGACTAAATGTCCTCAAAACAGATGATTAGGTTTACAGACCAATCAGACACCTTTTCACTGGTTCAGAATAAAATCACAGAGTTTACACAAAAACACATTTATACAAGAAATGTCATACAAGGAAATGTCTTTATTATTATTCTCATTTTTTTTATTAACTGCTGTTCAAAGGCTTCAAGTTCCCTTGGGTTAAATAAAAAAAATCAAATGGCATCCTTGCCGTTCTGAACCAGCAGCTGATGTGTGTAAATACAAAACATCCCCATCACGTTTTTTTCTTTACATACAACAAAGGCAACAAGAGGTATGTATGAAACCACAACACATTTCAGCAGCCTGATTTTTAACATGGAATAGACACTTTGTAATAATCCAGATTTGTTCGTGTGCTTCGTTGAATTGCTCGCAACATAAACAGGAGGCATTTCTCTCATTCCAGTGTGAGCCATAGAGAAATCACTTTTTAATCATCATTTGAGGTATTTTAAGGCAAAACCCTGATAGCTTGTTAATAGCTTCATACATATGTATCAGAGAGTTTCTAGAGGAATTCTGTCAGTCTGTGCAACATGTGTCTGTCTTCTGTATGTCAATCCAACATCCTGACTTTCTGGGATCTGAACTGTCTCTGAGCTGTGGGAGGAAACGGGAGTAGCTGGAGAAAACCCATGCAGAACGCGCAACACAGCAAGAACCGGGAACCTTTTTGCTGTGAGGCGACAGTGACCCTGCACAGTTCATATAAAAGTACAGCATGAAGACTGGAAACAAAGCGACTTATCTACCCTGGCTCCGACTGCTGTACCGACACGACAGTGGTATCAATAATCGTCATTTGTCTTTTATTCACTGATGGACCACTCCAACAGCTCTAACTGAGTCAAGCTGTTGCATTTTGGTAGTTTTAGCTCCTCCCCTGGCTCTGGTCGACTCTATGATGCCTCATCAGGTCCCAGAAGAGCATGCTGAGCACTGTGTGTGGGGCCAAACGTAGGAAGACTGGGCCCATGCCCTTGTAAAACCCCAGCAGCCCTTCAGCTTGGCACACCTTCAGCATACAGTCTGAAAACCCATGGTACAGACGTCCCTGAGAGGCACAGAGGGAAAACAACAAGCTTTGGTCTTATAGTGCGTGTTTACATATTTAACTTAATCCTATTAAGCCAAGATTGAGCAAGTAAAATTTTGATTAGATTATTTAAACTCACCCGACGAAACTCATCCACTGGCTGGTTGTAGAGCCTCGTGCTAATGACGTCAAATGGCGTCATGGTGATGGCCACAGCGACGCCGCTGATCATGGCAGCGACCAATGCCGTGAGCCATCTGTTTGGACTGAGCCACTGGAAAGAAACAGAGAACCTGATGTGTAACTGGAATTTGACTTCTGGCTGACAGTGTGACAAACATTGTTGTGGAATACACGTGCTGTACAAATGTCAGCCGCTCATCACATATACCTGGGTATGTGACACCCAATCCTTGGCCGAGGTGAAGGTCGCCAGCTGAGCAGCTGATCCCACCATGACTCGCGGCACGGCCCCGTTCACACCCCTCCAGAGACCAATCAAACCTTCTCTTCTATAGATGGAGGTAAAGGCATCAGACACTCCCTGAAATGACAAAATAAAACATAATGTGAAAAATGAATTGGAAGCAGCAGATATGTGTCTAATAACCCAGTGTGTGTTTTACTTTTGTGAACAATTAGCTGTATAAAACCTTTTTCATGGATATCACCCTCAATCATGTGAGGTGTCCTTACTAGAGCCTGACCGATTTATAGCTTTGGATAATATCAGCCAATATGAGCTGTTCACAGAATGCATTTATGTTTGCTGATATCCACCGATGAGAAAACTTTTATTTTACAGAATAAACGATGCAGAAAGATATGCATTACATAGGTTTACATGTTTTGTTTTTTCATTCAAGTTCTATATATTTGGAGTATTTGTGTTTTATGGTTTAAGCATCAATTACATTTCTTTATCAAAAGGGTCTGATAATGAAATATTAGGAGGAATTGCCTTTTTTTCTTCTTTTTTTTTTCGAAATACCATGTTAGTTATTACTTCCTAATACTGGTATCAGCATCAGCCCCCAAAATTCAGGCTCCTACTCTTTATAACTGAAGTTTAATTTTGTGTTTATAAAAGTGTATCACATTATAGACACTAAACACCCATGTTTGTAATGATCCTGGCTAAATTGACAGACGGGTCAGGTATATAGGATGATGACTTTTTTAAATCCTAAGACTGATGTACTTTCAAGAATGTGTTAGAAATAAAGTATGAAATGACAACAAATTAATAAACAAAAACTGAAAATACTCTTGAGGAGCTGTGGAAATACAGAAATATATGATCACTGTGTAAAAGACGATGCATCATCTTTTACAAACTGCAACAATAAAATGCCACAGTTACACATATTATATAAAAATATAATACTGAAACTCACTATGTGTTTCTTGAAAAGTTGTAACTGAAGCATTTGAACACATAGAATGAAATTACGCCAGATGAAAACTTCATGTGTCTTACCAGATGGTTATGCTGGTGACCGACTGCTATGGCTTCCACAGTTTGAGCTTGGAGATGAGTCTTCACCTGTGAATTAAAGACACAAGGTTTAATGGGTTTTCAGGTTTATACATTACACTGTACTCTAACAGATTCCTTAAAGTCTCCACAAAATCCTTTATGTTCGTTTGGACCAATAGAAAACTCATGTTGATTCCCCACTGAATCCACATTATCTCTGCTAGTTACAGGTTTCTAGCCCTATTTGTTGCCGAAAAAAATCCTGGTCCCAAATTGCACACACTCAAAGATATCAGTCCCCTATATGTATGTTTCTGTAACAAGGTCCATCATTTATTCCCTGGGAAATTGGTGAAAATGTCAGATCCATACCACAAGTGAATGGGTTCTTTCTCAGCCCCTGTCCCACCCTTCACCAAGTTTCATGGACATCCATTCAGTAGCTTTTGCGTAATCATGCTGACAAACAAACAGGTGAAAACATAACTTCCTATGCAGAGGTAATAAAACCTAACTTGTCACTAAGCCAAAGAATTTGCCAGGAACTGGACAAAGAATTCCATGACTCAGTCCTTTGCACCAAACCTGAATTACCTGATACAATAATAACACGCACAAAAGCAAGCCTCTCCTCTTGACTTCATAGAGAGTGTCAATTACATAACTCCCTGCCAACAGCTCACATGAAAGAGCCATAAGTTCCTGTATATTCTTGGCAGCAGGCGCTAGGTTGGAGCCACGTGCAGGGTATATTTAGTGACCTAGATATAGACCAGCATCCCACAGTATTGTCTTTCCATGAGAGAGTAAAAGGTCAGATGCCTCAGCTGAGGCAGAAACACAACAACATGACTCAGCTCGTATTAAAAGAGGACGTGCAGAGGAGCACGTTCATAAAAACATGCTGTAAATCAAGAGATGGTGACATTTGATATTTGTGTCAGAAAAACAAACATGAGGGTGTCAAACTGTGGCTAGTTGTGTAGATGATGATGTATCTATCTGCATCTATGTGAACAGCAAAGCAGAGTGGGGCCAGGGTGGGGGCATTAAAATAAACTCAAGATTATAGTGAATCAAAAATGTCTTTGAATGAGAAACTATCTATTACTAACCCGAAACTAATATACCATGTTGTGTTTCTTTGCTTCACGAGCTCTTGTCCTGGTTAAAAAATAGATACAGGACATTTGACATGCCTTCAATACAGAGCCGAGTGCTTTCATGTTTCTTGTTTGTTCTGATGTGCAATACTGCTGCAGATGATTTAGAAAGAGTTTCAAAGTTGGGTCTTCTAGTTGGTCATCAAGTAGGTGTAGTTGCCGTTTGTTTTTTAACAGGATTACGCAAACTACTAATACTGAACCGATTTTATTGAAACTTGATGGAAGGATGTTGTATGAGCCGAGGAGGAGCTACTTACTTTTGAATAAGATTGAATTGAGGGGGCAGATCCTGAAACTGTTTTTCACTTTCTTTAAATTTAAAAGATGGGAGGTTTTCCCGACATTTTATTTACCGTATTAATTTTTTTCTCAAGAAGTAACACAGAGAGCTTTGTGAATGATCAGGCATGTATGGATTGTTGAAATGTAAAAATGCATGTGATCATGTGCCCCAATCACACTGTCTGTTTGTATTAAAAGAGCAGTAGACTGAAACCTGAACTGAATCTGATTCCTTCCTCACAGAGCTGTTTTCCTACAGTAGCTCTCTTGTCTTCTGTTGAGTAACTTATGTGTGTGTAAGGTTGAGGGTGACAAGGGTAACCTAATCAGACAAGATTAATTTTTAATTGTACACAGGTTTTAACTTCCAATTGGGTTTAGTTTTTAAGTTCACACTCGCAGACTGCAGCAGTTACAGGACCAGGGCCTCTGTCCTGCATGTCTTTAAAATACTCACTCACTGACAATTCTAAAAAATAAATACGTCAATTTGTTAAGACTTTTCTAAGCTTTTTTGAAATTCACTATGTTCTTAAATAAGCAACAATTTTCAAAATATATTCAATGCTGAGTTGCTTTGCTCAAAGTTATAGCGCTAACAAAAAACAAGGAATGACTTAAATATGAATCTGTAATTGGCCACGGCCATTGGACATGTAATGGGCCTCTCTGTATAAATTGTGGCCCTTTTATGGCTCCAGATTTTGAAAAATATCAGAGTCACCACTGCTCCTCAGGCATCATTATAAAATAAATACTGAAAGAGTAAGAGTCACCTCACAAACATGCAGCCTGCGATTAAGGCTTGTTATTTTGGATTGCTTTGTTTTACATGTTACAAGCAAAAAAAAAACCTTGTGAGCCATGAAATGGATATTTCCCCTGATACTCAGCCTCTAAAATACAGATCCGTTTACATATTACTGACTATGGAGTCTCTTCTTTCGTTAAAATAGCATCAGTGATGTGTTTCCACCCTAAACTTTCCTTTGGGAACATTAAAAAGAACTTCTTTGGAGGATGTAATAAAAGAGAAACTTCAGTAAACTTACCAGGTAAGCAGGAGAGGCAATGAAGGCCCCCAGTGCCCCAGCCCCTGCCCCTGCCAGCAGACTCCCCCCGTGCAGTGAGGTGATACCAAAAGCTTCACAGTAGGAATAGGAGCCCAGCCTCACACCATTCATCATACCCTGGTAGATCAGGCCGACTGAGAGGCCCTTCTGCAGGCCCCGGAGCCCGTCTGTGCGGCCCACCACCCACAGGGCCTGGAGGGCTCCCCGGTAGTGCCTCTGGTAGGATCCACGTGCACACAGCTCTCCCTGGAGCTGCAGACGGGTCTTCACAACCTCCAGGGGATTGGTGAACACACATGCCGCGCAGCAGGCCAGAGCACCCAGGGCGAAGTCCAGGGGTGGCCAAACAGCTGGAGGGGGCGGCGAGGGGCCAAACACATCACAGGGGACCGCAGACACCGTGGATGTCATCCTGTGGGGAGGCTGGGCACCAAACACAGACTCTGTGGATGAAGTGTCCAGCAGCTGAGAACTGGTCATCCCTGAGAAATGATACTTTGTCCTTGTTGTTGTCACACTTCCTGCTTGTTTGAGATATCAGGGAACAAGGAGAGTGTGTTGTACTTAGCACAGAACAGTGACGTCAAAAACAAACGCTATCAGCCTTTGTGATGACACATTGAATCTTTGTTCAGCATGTGTATCACATGACACCCAGCCCCTCTGGTGTCCTTCTGCAGTGACTTTCATTAGCTCCCTTGACTGCCAGGCTGTTTAATAGAGGCACCATCTGCAAGGAGAATCAAATAGTGTTGTTTATGTTGTGAATTATAAAGGTTATGTTGACAGAGGCTATAAGGGCAGGGAGTGGTAGTGCAACAAGAGGAACAGGAATGTCCTCTTCGAAGTTTAACTTAACTTCACTACAAGCAGAGATGCGGGAACAAGAGAAAGCCAGTTAGATTTAATATTAAAGTATCATAGAAAGCAGACAATTATTTCTCCTGCAGATACAAACACAGGCGCTCACACATGGGCCTTCTCTTAAATTCATTCAAACCAACGACACAAACCTGAACAGCACCAGCTCCACACACACACACACACACACACACACACACACACACACACACACTCAAACAACACGCTCCTCTCACTTGCCTCATGAAAATTTAGCAAAACAAACTCTCTCTTGTCTTTGGTGACTTCATAAGGAAACTCACAGTGTGCAGTGGTCCTGTGCAGCAGCTCCATTCTTCCCCCTCTCTCCCCCTATCATTGTAAACATGTGTCCTCAGCACATTCATTGTCACAGGCTCCTCCCACTGCCTCGCTGTCAGAGCCAATACCTTCTCAGTGCAGTCTGCCACCTCACCACCTCCCTGAGTCTGCTCAAATCAGACCGCTGAGCTCTGAGCTGCCCCTGCTCTGCTCCTATAGCAGCTCTCTGGGTAAAAGGTTGTTGGTTCGCAGAGGGGGATGGAGAGTCTGAGGGAGAGGAGACTGAGGATAAAAAAAGTGACTGGGGGTGTGGACACAAGGTCAAAAGATTCTGTGGATACTCTCGGAAACAAAATGTTGATTTAGCACATAATAATAATAATTTAGTATATAAATATATGATATAAATATTTGCTATAGAGACATTTAGAGTGTAACCAATTATCTTAGTGAATTGTATATGATATAGTATGTAATAATTATCAACTTCATTCATATAGCACCTTTCAAAGTACAGTTACAAGGTGCTTCACAAGTTAAAAATGAAAAATTGAAGGTAAACAATTTAAAAGCAATTGGAAGATCACAGAGCAACAGATACAGAAAGGTCAAAATCATTATAATAGTAGAAGATCAGAATTCTGAGAAAGCACACCTATAAAAATGTATTTAGGAGAGATATAAGAGGATAAGGATAATTTGTAATTGCTCTGTTAAAAATCTGCACTTAACTATGTATAATTACTTTCTATTTTATACTAGGATGATGTTACTTGCAGTTGAGATGACTCATCACAGAATGACCCCTTTCCTTTTTGTGCTGATGTAAGAGCAGCCACTAGAGGCCGCTCTTCCTCAGCCCCGATAATAAACGTGTATTGAATAACCTGCTGAGAAAGTGAATTCCCCATATTTCAAACAGAGGTTACTTTTCTTTGTTTCTTTATATATTGGGACCGATTCAAGTTTTAAATCAAAATATTTCCATGCTATAAATTCCAAAGCATTTATGAGCATTTGGTATATATTTAACTCACATTAAAACTTTTTGTTGTTTATAAAATTAAAAATATCATGGCTTCTCTTTGCCTTCACACACTTCTCATCTGTATTGGCTCAAAAGTTCAGCTTCAGAGCTATTGATTTATGCTCCATTTCCATATCACCTGCTGAAGAACAGGTGATATCAGGGGAAGCTCTTAAAAAAGCTACTTATAGAACTAAAAACAGTAAATACTGATAGACCACAAACACTGCAGCAATATGAAGACTGTGACAGATTGGACATGGAGGCCTTTATTGTTCAACTATCTTTTTAGTACAGTGCCATATCTCTCACACCATGAGCCCGACACACAGTCAAAAACTTTTAATCACTACTGTGCGCGCACGCACATGTACACACACACACACGCTCACACTGTTTTCAATGTAAACATAGCAGGCTTTAAGAGTGATACAAAAATCAAGGTAGTCATCAACCACTTCTGTCAGTTCTTCCAGAGTTCCTCTCTGTTAAGAGTTCAGAGGAGGGTGACACAGAACAAATAAACAGAAATTTTGTTGTTTGGTTGATCACCGGGGCAACAAAAAATGTCATGTCCCTGTCCTGGCACTCGCAAATACACACACTCGCTCTCAAACACACACACACACACACACACACACTCAGGATTCTCATTGAACCATATGTTTTATCAAAGTGTAATTAAAGTGTTATTTTGAATGCTTGCAGTAGGCAGAAGGGAGGGTTGTGAATTTCTGAAGTGGAACATCTAACAATGTCCTTTTCAATACTCCTCTCTATAGGAAAAAGGCCGTGTGTCTTCGTTCCCTTGTGTGGTCACAGGTTGAAGCATCCGTCTTCCCAGTCCCGCCTGGAGCTGCATTACCTTTTAGCACGTACAAAGTACAAGGCGTTGGTTTTAGGGTAGTACTTCACATTCTGTTTTTTGTCCATGAGGCCCCCAAAAATGATGAGCTCTCCCCTGCCCTGCACCACTGTGTGGAGGCTGGTCTCTGGTGGCCCTGTGACTGCCGCAGGAGTCCCGTTCCCGTAAACTCTCCAAGACACCACCTTAGCAGATTTGGCCCGGGATACATCCAGAACATACATCTGCATGGGCTTGCAGTTGAGAGACTGGTACAAAGGTTTTCCTACGTTCAGGCTCTGAGGTGGGTGATGACCGAGACGCCGTGCAATAGGTGGGATAGCATGTCCATCAGCTCCAGCAGCCTGTGGAGGGCTGGAGGATGATGAGGGAGGAGTTCCAGGAGGACCTGCTCCTCCAGCTCCACCACTTCCTCCTCCAGTAGAAGCTCCCTGTGTCTGAAAGGAAGATGACGATGATGACGATGGTAAAGATGAGGAAGATTTATTTTTTACTGCCTCCAGACCTCGTCGTAAGGCAGCTGGGGACACTGCTCCTGGGGGAGTGTGTGGGCAGCCTGCAGGAGGTGTATGTAGGCCATTAGTGCTGGGCACCTCAGGGTGGTGGGAGGCAGAGGGGGGAGACTCCCAATCATAGTCTGTGGAGGCAGGCAGGTGAGGGCGAGCGGGAGGAGATGCAGCCTGGGCTGGGCTGGTCCGGGGAGAAGGTGATGATCCGTTTAATAATGGAGGAAGTGGAGGCAGAGGAGGGCTGTCTGGGCCTTGCAAAGGAGATGGCTGCTGGGACGAGGATGGGCTTCCTTCTCTGGCACATCCTCTTGCTGAGGGCCGAGGTCTCAGCGTTCCCCATCGACCATTTACACACGGAGCCTCTTCGACAGCTCCCAGGACAACACCGGCGGCCCCACTCCTAACAGGAGACTGAGAGCGCAGGGAAGGCGGTTCGGGGCCCAGAGGGGCAGGTGTGGCACTTATGGGGGAGGGCCGAGAGTTGAGACTTGGGCTGAGCGGTGCACGGCCAGATGGCGCCTGTGAGAAAACGACCACACACTGGCCCACCTTTAAGAAGATGACAAAGATAATTAAAGACAGGTTGATTGATTTTCAGATTGCACGCACACGGATTGACAGCCAAGACAGACACTTACTCTACAAGCTGGGTGACACCAAAGTTCTGGGGCTCCATGGTCCTCGTTTTCAACCTGCAGCTGCTGCCACCTCCAAGGTGGTGCGTCCATGTGAAGCAGCCAGGCATCTTTGAGAAGCTTTAACACAGACAAAAGGTTTATGTCAAAACTGAAGTCACATTAAAACGAAATTTAGATGTTCTGATAGTAGAATTATATTACAAACTTACGGCATTAGGACCACCACATCCTCCCAAGATGAGCAACGTCTGATCATCAATGACAATCTAATAGGAAAGATTTAGAAAATAGAATTACATTTTAAAATAATAAGATGGGTGGAGTTTTCAATCACAACTTCACCTACTGGCATGTCAGACCAAAGAGGGACCATGAACAAACTGGCAAACTGACAACAAAATAAAATCACAATTGATTTTGAATAGCTTGAATTGTTAAATGAATCCTTACTTGTGATTGTCCTCCTCGTGGATGTGGTAATGGGCCAGATATGGGTGGCTTGGACCAGGACCACTGCTCCAGATCCAAAACCCAGACTTCATTACTCCTGATCAGAACCAACGAAGGACAGAACGCATTGTGAGATGTGACAGCTTAAGTCTTCATTTACTACCAAAGCCCAGTTCAAGTCTAAGTCTTGCTAAAATGTGTAACTGTTTAACAATAAAATAAAAGTGTGTGTGCTGGATGAACAGGCTGTTAACAGCTCTTTCTACTGGAGCTTGACTTATGAAACACAAACTTCTTTTCAAGATTTATTGTCCAGTGTCAGCTATTGTTCTGTGGGCTCTGTAGATGTTTCTTAGGTGATGTAACTTTATCCCCTCAGTAAAGAATAAAATCACCTGACAACTGAGACGTCATTAACATTTTTACTGTCTTGAATAAGGAGGTTAAAAAACTTTGCATATGTGACACTAGATGCCCCATCGTCTTTGCTGCAGATTGAAAGTGCAAGAAGTTACAGATTCCAACTTTAATTTATGCATTTTAATTTTTGATAATGTATGATTTAAGTAATAAATGTATACATTTGACGAGCTCCTAATGATCCCCCAAACACCACCATGGTGTTTCCAATTACTGAGGAAGAGTGGCCAGCCATGGGTGGAGGTCCATGTGTTGTTACGATGCAGTTCCACCTGATACAGCAAAAGAAATAATAAATCACACAGAGACAGAAAACCCACGATGAAAAATGCTACTTTCCAGAACTGAAATCCACCTCACCAATTCTTTGAAGGAGAGTAGCTGTGGATTTCATCAAAAAACCTTTCTGGTTGGTGCAACGGATATGGGCTGGGGCGAGTCCACCCCCCAAAGAGGACTAACAGTTCTTTGTGCATCACTAGAGTCGCCCCAGCTTTAGGAGACGGATAAGAGCCTGTAAGAGAAAAGAGCAGAGATGGTAAATCCAACCAAAAAAGACCGGACTGAATGAAAACTTTTAGTGGACTGATTTCCTTATGTGAAAATGGCTTAATAGACGTGGCCATCACTAAGACTATATGTCTCACTACACATACAAGTAGCAAAAATATTAAAAATTAAATTACATGAACATTATGATGGCTTAGACAAATTCTCTGTTAGCAGATGCTCTTTCCAGAAGTTACATAGAATTCAGCCTCTACTAACAGTTTCATAAAAAGGTACAAAGCTCCAAAGTTTAAAGAAATGAACTGCACCAGTAAAATATTTCACTACAATCTCATTTTAACGCTGCGTATTTGTTTTTTATTGCCAAGTCACTGTTGCCATTCAACATCTGAACACTGTATTCACACATAAGGGTCATCCTCCCACAGTTACATAAGCCCCATCTTACTTTCACAGTTGTTATTTATTTTTCCCGTCTGTCTTTAGTGCTTGTGACGGACTCATACCTGAGGCTAAAGGACGGATCCACTCCTTGCTGTTGAGGTCAAGTCTCCATAGATCATTGAAGGCAGCATTGCAGCTACTCTGAGTGCAACCTCCAAACACATACATGGACTGGTTGGAGTCATAATAACATGCACCTGCCAAACACAAAAATCAGCCACAAAATCAACAGCAGACCTATGCCAAAACTGAGCACTTTGACTGGTAAATATCTAGTTCTGTTTGTTTATGCAATCGAATTTGTTTGTGTGCAACCAAGAAAAACCGTGACATACATTTCCAATATAAAAATTGATGGAAGACATTTCCAGATTTGTTGTTTCCAGTAAATTTGCAAAGAGGGATTTTTCACAATTACAAGTCTTGATCAGATTACTGTTAGATTAGATCATCTGAAACAACATTCATATTACAATGCATCATTAGACATACACTGAGGAACTTATATGATCAGTGGGCTTCTAGGTCAGTAAATTTAGCTACAGCCTGGAAAGTTCAATGTTAATCATTTAAAGCTGAAATGTTAATAAATAACATAACTTCTTGTTGCACAGGAAGAAGACAGATTTCAAACCCAGGGTTACATTAGCTGAAAATGTAAAAACATTGTTGCCAAAATGCCACCGTATGCATGAAGTACAACAGGCGGTAAAGCAGAATGTACTGACTGTGTGAGAAGCGCTGAGTGATAGGGGTTCCTGGATATGGGTATGTGCGACTTTCCCACTGGATATTTCCCTCCTGGACAGCTCTCAAGAAACCATGATAGCACTGATAAGCAACACCTAGTTCAGAGAAAATACAAGTAAATCACACAAAAAGTTAAATGTCTCCACTTTCAAATTGTTCAAACTGCAGGATAAGCAGATTTGAACGAGTCATTCTTTGTTAAATTTCCAGTGTGTAGGATTAAGTGGCTGTTAGGTTTGCGGACTGCAATGAACTGCATACCCCTCCCCTAACCCAGGTAGTGAAGCGTTCAGATAAGGTAAAAACTCAGTTTCAGTGTTTGTCCATTGTAGGATACTGTAGAAACATGGCAGTGCAACATGCAGACACAAAAGAGAAGGACCTACTCTCTATATAGATAGTCAGGGCTCATTCTATGCTAACAGAAACCTATGTATTCTTTATTTTCAGGTGACAAAATTATAAAAGTTATATTTCAATGCTGCCAATTGATCTTCAGAAACTCTGCACACTGGTCCTTTAAAGTAATGTTTCACTTCTCTGCTGATGTTGTAACACCCCCTCACACCCACAGCGAAGCTGACCCTTCCACCGTCCCTCTCAGTTTCACACAAGATTATGCAGATGCGAGAGGCATACCTTTAATGAGGCGATACCACTGCTTGCATACAAGCGCAGCAGTCTTGTGTTCTTGGTACGGTGAGAGGAATGAGAGAATATATTCAAGAACTTCCTCTGGCAACTCCAACATTGTTCTCTCCTCTCCTTTGGCACTGTCCATGGTCCCTTCTTGTCGCCAGGAGGACCCCATCTTTGCCTCTGCTTCCTCAGTTAACCCAGCAGGGCCCGCACCGTTGTCCTCTGTATCCATGGCAACAAAGCATCCATCCTCCTCATTGTCTGGGGAGCGGGACATTATTGTCTGTTGAGACATGGGGAGACATTGCTAGTGATGAATGCACCAATGATCCTGGTGCTCAGGAGCATGTTTACAATCAGCCCAAATTTGGCTACACAGACATGACTTTTAAAATGACTTCATTATTCTATTCGGGGTAGTAGACTCACCACATTTCCACCATGTTCATTCTAGGACTTCTGCAAAGCAAATTTATTGAGGAAGAATCCTACAACAACACTGGATGAGAGTTGATCCTACCCTGGAAACCCAATGACACTGCAGAGCTGTGAACAACATAGCATGTATGTGTTCAACAGACTTGATTGTTACTGCTATTGTTTAAAACGGGTGGTGCCCTTTCTTTAGCCTGAACAGCTGGCCCCTACACACAGCGCGTAGGCTACATCCAACTAGCTGTCGTTAGCCGTCATACAATAAATAAATGGTTGTGCTGCTAATGTTAATTTTCGCCAAAAGATATCTTCATTGGAGAAAAACATCAGGTGTATTACACACCATACTTATAAACGAGGACTGTCTTGTGCCTTTCCACTGACTAACCGGCCTGTGCATGTTGCTAAATCTAACGTTTGATTCTTGGAGCATATGAGCTAGCATCGGCTAACGACGCTAGCTACCTTAACATGAGCACCTAAGCTAGCGTTAGCCAACATCAGTGCCTCCTTCGATAACGGTGAAAAGACACATTATACACATCTTACTTTAAATACTTCTGCTACACACATTGTGGACTACCCTACATCTTAATTGTCTCAATGACACGCCATGCTTTTAAAGCTTAGTTACACCCTGGCAGCTCACGAGCTAGCTGCTATGTTCAGTCCGGAGCACTGCTGATAATCTTAGCTAGCGGTGGCTCCTCCAATGCCACACACACACTTTCCCCGGGATTTCAACCCTGAAACTGAAAAAACCAAGTTAACCCAGTACCGTGGGTTTAGACGTGTTCTTCAGTGGGCGCTGTGTGTTGTCTCTTCTCCTTCCCGGTATCAGCTTTGGAGGTTCCTCTGCAGCCTCCAAACAGTCGCCATCTTCCGCTCAGTGAACAACATCTTCCGCAGCACAGCGACGCTCAGGCAGCCGCGGACGGTCCGTGGCACCAGGGTGGGTCCGGTGGGTCCCCTGCCCCCCGAAACCCTGCGTCCTCAGCCGCGTCACCCAGAGAAAAGCTCACATTCAAAAAACTAATTTAAAGTATTGTAAATGTCAGAGGTGGAGAAAGTATTCAGATCATTACATCTGCACGTAGAGCCACAACATAAAGTCCCTGCCTGTGACCGTGACACTCTAACTTTCCGTTACAAATAACTGTACTTGGCTCAGTCTCTGGTGTTTTCTTACAACGTATTGCACAATCCTTCCCCTGGTGCTCATAGTATTTTTTTATATTTAATCGTTTCACTTTTTTTCAGTTATACTTGCACAAATACACCACAGCAAATTCCTTGTATGTGTAAACCTGCTTGGCAATAAAACCAGATTCTGTTATATTAAGATAATAAGCTGCAGGTAAGAATTCACTTAATGAAAGAGTGTGTAAATAATGATTAATTGTAGTAAACTATACAGTTATACTCACCGTGCTTCTGAAAACTACATGTTATGAGTGATTGGTGAAATGCATTAATGCTGGTTTTAATATCACAGTTAAGTAATGCATGTTAGTTATTATTTACTGATGACTATTTTGACTCTTGCTGCTGCAATATTACAAATGTCCCGATGGCGGGACTAATAAAGTATGATCTTCTTATCTTATTTCCAGATTAATGAAGTTTAGGTCGAGTCACAAACACGATCTCTAACATAAGTGACAGTTGTGTGTGTTGTAGTTTTTCCGTGTTAACGACATGTGCACGTCACACCGGTTGATTCAAGTGGGGCGGGGGGCGTGACGCCAGATTTAAAGTCGCAGGCGCCCATTGGAGGAGGTGTCCCCAGTGGAGTGCTAAGCTAACAAGCTAACAGGCTAACACGCGGCCTGGGAAACATCTGTGAATCTCCTTCTTCCGCCCTCACCTGGCCACTGAAGCCCGCCGGCTCGAGCTCCCGCGGTCCGGTGCAGACGCCGCTCTCCGTCCCTCGCCCTAGGCGCGGATGGGAACTCGTTTTCAAGAGGTAACCAGCCAGCGGTCCGGTTAATAAAAATGGAGGATGATGAGGTTGCAGAGAGCTGGGAAGAGGCAGCGGACAGCGGGGTGAGAAACACGTACACATGTCGTGCTACACAAACCAGCTGGTAACTTGGGTTCACTTCGACAGTCACTCAGAGATGATCGAAGATACGATGGGTCATTTTTATTATCAGTCAAAGAAAACAGCATCTTTCTCCTGGCTCCAGTCTGCAGGCCTCACCGTCCCATAGCGTCGTGGGACTTAGCCAGCGTTCATGACGTTTTAGATTCTCGATCAAATCATTTGTATTATAATCTGTAGTAAAACCCGAGTGGTGATCACAAAGAAAGCTCGTTTTTTTTTTACACAATATACTTTTCTTCCACAGTGGACGTAGTGTTTACACCCGCCCATTGCGGAAATGACAGGCTACACTGTGGTGAATCATTACAACATCATTGAGGTGTAGTAAATCTGGTTTAGGGGGACTAATCTGAGAGACCTAGCTGGGTTTTCTTGCATGTGTTTGTCGGTGAAAGTGGGGGTGGACCAATAAATTGTGGTTTCACTTAAAAATTCAATTTATAGCTGGCCCAGGATGATATATATGTTATTTGTATTCTTAAAGTCAGCTAATTTACCATCACACAAGTGAGATTACTATACTTATATTCTATATTAATACATTTTACTTTCATAGCACTTCTCAAATCATGGTTACTAAGTATTTCACAAGTAAAAATGCATCAAATCTCTAAAAGTAATAAAAAACAAAGTTGACTCAATAAAAACTCTTTAAAGTGTGGCAGAAATTTAAGCAGGACCTCCCTGTAGCAAATCCAACAGTAGCACAGATTACAGCACTGACGAGTGATCAAATTCATGTGGTGTGACTTTGAGATCATACTGTATATGAATTACTTCTTCAGTGTATTAGGAAAATATTTAGATTTTAAATGTGTTAACCCCAGCCTTCCATTTAGCTTACAACAGAAATAAACCAAATTAAAGTTTACAGTGTACTTTAAAAAGCCATAGTCTAATTTTGTTATATGGAATATATCCCAACAAAACATTGAGATAGAGGCACAGATGCAACGAAAAACAAATCAGTGTATCAATAAGTGTAATTAGATCTATGTGACGCCACCCATGTGGAATTGCTGAGTGTTCTGTAGATGCATCATCTACTGTGGATCATCCATGTGTCAAGAGATTAAACAGATCCCTCACCATAGAGAGGGATTAATGGGCTATAGTAATTGAGTGTGCTTTCTCAGACGTATTGATCTCGTAAACAGGTTTGCTACACAGAGCGATGAGACAGAAAATGTACTTGTTGAGCAGTAATAAAAAAATTGTAATTTTTTTTTGTCTTTGTCCTCAGGAAATAGAGAGAAGGCTTGAAGCTAAACTGAAAATAAATCAGGAAGCAAAGTAAGTCAACAGAGCAAAGAAAATGTGTCTGAAATCTTTGAAATATGATGTGAATATATTCATGCAATTTTTTCTCTATTTGTATTCCTCTAACACTTTTTTTTGCCTGTGCAGGAAGTCCAGCTTGGGCTCAAGTGTTTCACTTGTGCAAACTGCAATGGTTATTCAAGATGACTCTCTGCCGGCAGCACCCCCCCCACAAATCAGAATCTTAAAGCGTCCTACAAATAACGGTGCCGTTGCAGCGTCCTCATCCCGTCCCTCCCAGCAGATGAAGTCTTTGGCCCAGAGGGAGGCAGAATATGCAGAAGCCAGGAAAAGGATTTTAGGTAGTGCTTCTTCAGATGAAATGCCTCAGGATAATCCATGCCACGACAGGTAGGAAAACCAACATTTGTCAAAGTTGGGAAGAACATATATTAATATTTGTGGAGAACAAATTAAATTTACTCCAAATGTCTCCTCATTTGACTAGGCCAGCTCGTTTGACTGCGCAGCAACCATCAGAACCAGTTCCTCCACACAATCAAGTGGTCCGCCAGCCCACTGGCCCAGATGGCACCTCAGGCTTTCGACTCTGCAGATAAACTGAAGCTACCTGCTGCAAGGAAACGTCTGTCTCTCTGAGAGGCTGCAAAGGGTGTGGTATGAAGAGCAGAGTGGTGGAACGACATAAAATTTGACAGATGTTACAAATATGAAGACGTAGCATGGATTGTGACGAACTTCTCCACCCTCTCTCTACTCTGCTTACAGGCATGGTCTTTGCCTTTCACCTTGTCTTTTCCCTCTGTGGAACATTGCAAGGGGCTGGCAGAGATCAGCCAAAGATCCGAAACCTCCTATGTTCCACGCTGAACAGGTTTTTGCCTCACATCCCTACACACTGTGATACTTCGATGTACCATGAGGTGCCCTATGATTTTAGGTCTGATCGGCCGGCAGAGTGCCAGGGCATCAGGCATCTGTCTCTTCAGGGATAATAAAGAGAGCTTGTGAATCTATGGGAATTCCCTGGAGACATGAAAATGAACGAGCTGGCCGTGTCACTGGTGGATTGTGGATCATGGCTGGGTGTCCACTGGGAAGCTTGATTCAGTGAAAATTAAGTGCTTCACAGTGCCGAGGGTTTGCTGTGTGTTCAGCACCTTGAGTACGAGTTGACAGAAATTCGTAATGATTCAGCTTTTTGCGTAAAAGTGCTCTGTGCTCAAAAGTGTGTTTCAATACTGTAGTGGCCCAGACCAGCACTTTCCACAATCCACAGGCCTGTCTTTGGCACTGGTGGCTATTAAAGAAATGCCCAGTGGGCTCACAGCCTGTGGCCAAAGATTATACATCAGAAGGACAGAGTGTCACTAAATCTAAGCTTGTTCAAGCAATAATATTCCTGAAATTTTTCCCTAGATTATTACTTTTTGTTTGTTTTTACATATTGACAAATTGCCTGTGCTGTTTTTTTTTTGTTTTAATCAGTTTACATTGTTTGGTTAGTTTGCATTTTTTTCCTGAGTAATAGTAGGATTAAATCAGGACATCCATAGTGTGTAACAGAATAGATGATGTAGCCTGTGTAGGAAACCTCGCTGGTGGTATCATTATTAAAGTCGTCAAATTGGGAAAAAGTCAGACCTATCCCTGTATTGAAATCTTAAGTGGTTATGCATCAGTGTCCCTGTTTGTGTTGCCTCACTGATTCAAATTGGTTATAGCCTTTTTTCCTACTCTTTCTACAGATGTTAGATCTTAAAATCAACTGCAATTCATCTGTTTAGCAAAGAAGACTTGAGGCTTATTTTTCACAGGTGGCAGTTTACTGACAAATTGTTATCTTGGCTGACAGTTGTTCAGAAACAAACAACTTAAATACTCAACAAGGAGGAAGATGACATAAACTCCCAATAATCCTCCTTCAATCAGGGTCAGAGAAATGTGTGATTTAAATTATGAAAATTATACAAACATACATCTTTTAATCTGTCTCCTCCAGAATGAATCCATATTCCACTGCCTGGTTTTACTGAATGTTTTTCTGTGACCTGTGTTTTTTGTACACACCAGGGTTTTACAACATTGTCTGCATGTTTGCAACCAATTGAAGAAAAGTTTGCAAACCATGAATTCAATAATGCAATCAAATAATGAGTTATTAAGATGTTCACTGTATGAACTTGCAGTTCATTTTAGAACCTTTTGATACTTTGCCTTAAATAACAGTTACCCTGGATACACTTTTCAATTGTTGGTGCTAGTTAATCTTTCTTTTTATGCACACATGATAAGGTAATTATTCTGTGAAATCCAATGTAATTGAGGTGAAGTTTAAAGCTGCACCAAGCTATAGTTTTAGATTCATACAAAACCACTTTGTCCAAATATTTTCTGGTGAATTCATTGTTTAACATCTTGCTTTTGTGAGCAAATGTGCTATGGATCAAATAAGAAAGTAAAGTTGGCAGAATGTTGGATCTCAGTATTTATGTTATGAGATGACATCCATTGTCCGGATGAGTGACATGCAAGGTTGTTACTGATGTCTATGGATGCCCATAATAACTTTGACCAGGGATCTGGTTCAATTGCTGAAAAACAAGAATTTGTAATAATTTCAAATTGAGAAAGTAAAGAAAATGTTATCCTGTACCTATGCGATTTACCCATGTTGCTTTGTTTCAGTCATTCAGCCACCTGTTGGGTTTGTGGCTGATTTTGATGTCATTAGAATTTCCAAATTTGAAAAAATGCAAATGACATTTCAATACCCTTTAATACACATACTTCAAAAAGAGAACTTGGTGTATGTTTTATGTTTCATTAGACTGGTTCTTTAGCAGAATGTCATATGAACTCAAACCACATGTTATTTCTAAATGATTTATTTTGACACAGGAATAAACTAATTGTGGCAAATATAAATACATTGATTAAAGGATGGTTATTCTCACAACGGCAAGATAATTACAGTTTAGTCATTCAGGTAAATTGTAAACAAAATCATTTACAACCCTGTATTTTTCGTTACTTGTGTTTAGTAATGGCACAATTGATTGTGTCTTCAGTGCCTTTAAAAAAAATTCAAGAATAAGCCATACAAAAGTATGTCAATTGACAACTTTTACATGTTGTAGTCATTGGGTCCTGTGCTACATGTTGATAAACCTTTTTTTAATTTATCAAGATCTTGCAGGCTCGCACACCATTCAAGACCTTTGCAAACTCTACAAAGCTACAAACCTAAAACTAGGATGACCCTGTGAATTTGAAATTGTACTGGTGATATTAAAAAACAAGACAAGATGGTGAATATCTCTTCTTCATTTGAAGGTCCTCAGAACTATACTGATGAACAAATTGCTATCAAGCAGCAGATGTCAAGGATCACCAGCAACTGTTGGCGACCACCAGTGGAAGTTAGGGACACATCATCAGTTGGGAACCTGTTGGAGGTAGGTATGCATCTTTATGTTTGCATTTATTATGTCACTTGAGGAAAAAACCGTCAGCTAAATGATATGTTATGCATTCATTTGGTTATAAACCTGGCTTTGTGGATATCCATATTTCGTTTTTTTACATAAAAAACATGCGCTGCGCCAACCCCGACCAGGGGCGGCGCTGTGGTGGCTTGTCCTGTGGTGCAGCTCCAGCCCCCAGCCGTGTCCATTGAAAGTCGGAAGTTGTTTTCTAGTTAGTGAAACTTTACAAAATGGCAGAAGACAACTCTTATGAGTCCATGCTCTGCGTCAAGCCCGAGGTCCACGTTTACCGGATCCCGCCGCGCGCCTCTAACCGGGGATATCGGTAAGTTGACGTCAGAGGGCGCTTACGTTTGTGACAGACAAGTGTCGGTCAGCGAAGCGAACTTAAACGGAAATACACCCATTATCGGACAGAATGGTTTGGCTGGTGTTTTGTCTCTTTGCTCCCGTTTCCCCGATAAATGTCGTCGACGCTGAAAAGCCCACAAAGTCCGTACACTACACCACGCAGTATTTAGATGGATGCACGTGGTTGTTGTGCAGGTTTGCGGCCAAGAAGTTCCCGCTGTTCCCAACGAAACCCTCCGCTCCATCTGCACACGGAAACCGGACACCTCCACCGACGAACAGCTCACCGGAGACTCGAACTTACGGTCGTGAAAAACGGTCAACACGAGCTGCCTGTGAAAGACGCGAGGGACTTTGTTTATAATAATATGAAAAGTTCTAAATAGCTGAGCTCGTGCAAAACACCACCACAAGGGGGCCCCATGTCGTTTCTGTCCTTCATTTGGTTTAAAGTACATTAGACCTTCGCACTAAGTATCAACACTGACGGTCTGTCTTCATCTTCCAGCCTTGTTTTCTAGAGACGCTCTGTGTTTTACCTTTTGTGTTTATCAAACCAGATCGTATATAAAGATGGACGACATGACAGTTCCCCAAAAAACGAAGCCAAAACGCCACGACCGCCCCTTGGTGGTCGAGTACGGTATAGTTCACAGATCCCTCTTTCTCCATGTCAGTGGATCGAACTGCGAAAAAAACACAAACATTTCAAAACACAGCTGAAACCGAGTGTGTATCACCACTGTGCAGAGTCTGGCACCAAATGACGTCATTGGCACCAGGGCTGGGTGATTAACTTAATTTCAATTCAGATTATTGCTTCCAACGATTTTGGAAACAAAGCAATCCACATAAAACGATAATTATCCTGCGTTCTGTTTTGCCTTATGACGCCCTTGTCAAACTGTCTGCGTGAGTGGCGTGTGACTGCGCTGTGGTTCTGCTGTTTGCCACGGTTCTCTGTTGGTCACACAGGCAACCTATCTGCTGGGCTTCTGCGGTGTGAGGTTTCTGGTATAACGACATTGTTATGGTATTTCGACAAATAAAAATTGGGCTTTATACTCGACTAAATGCCAGGACACTACAGCAGGGTTTCTGCTATGTTCATTATGGACGCCCCTACTTCAGGATCAGGGCAGACACACATCGTGGACCTGGTATACTAGTACTGTGCCGTATTACCCTGCTGCTGATCTCCCTCCTCACTCCCCCGCTGACCTGCGCTCACTTTACATGTTAACAATGAACACCAACACTAATCATAAATGACTAGTACACATCAGTACTTGAAGTTTACTTTGTGTTTGTGTGAGGAGTGACAGACAACACTCCAAAAGACAGGAGAGAAGTTCTCCATGCAGATTGTGACACAATGTGAAGTTTTAAGAAGAAGCGATGCCGTGCTTATCTTTGAACATAAATATAAATTCAGAAGGTTGTTCTAAAGATCAGTTCTATGTGTGAGTAATTATTTGGTGCCAACTTTGCTTTTATTCATTTGGCCGTAGAACAAAAGCACTAAGTTTCCCTTAATGTCTGATCTTAGTCGTACAAAAACTTTCAATTTCGCTTCCTCCTGCTGTGCAAAGCAGCAGTTCCCCACATGAAAGTTGTGATTGTGTCAGCTGTTCTTGTGATTGACTATTACACAAACCGCTTTCTTATCCAGATGGGTGTTTTCTGTGTTTTTGTAGTGCTGCTGACTGGAAGCTGGATGAACCTGCATGGAGTGGTAGACTGAAAATCACTGCGAAAGGCAAGATGGCTTTCATAAAGTTAGAAGACAAAAACACAGGTACAAAAATGTAAACACATCTGCTTACAAACTACATGTGAGGTTTTCTGCATGCATCTCATTGAGTTCATAATGTATTCATGGTTCACAATCAACTCCTTTATGAAACCCTTTGCTTGACTTATATAAGCTCTTTTCCTTCCAGCCCCAGGTAAATGTCAGTGAGTCTCATGTGAGATTACAGCAGTAAATATCTGGAAAACTCACAGTGAGCATGTGGGTGTGTTGATGACATTTCTAATACACATGACCCTGATCTGCTCATCAGCACTGAATATACATTAGACCTTGTTAGATCATCTTTAGGTTGCACATGAGGGCGATTAAAGGCCCAGTGTGTAAGATTTAGGTGGAAGGGATGTTTCTTATTATAAATTGGATAAAAAATAATCCTGACGTTTTCACTAGTGTGTAGTCATCTAAATTATTGTTTTCTTTACCCTAGAATGAGCCCTTTATATTTACATTGAGTGGGTCGTCTCTATAGCAGCTGCCATATTTTTTACGGATTAATTGAATAGAAAGCTATTCAAAGCCACAAGTGACTGGTAAGATTTTCCCGTAGAAACAAATTATTTATATCAACAAAAAGTGGAAGATTATGTGAAAGCATCTGGCTTTACTCACAATTTCATTAATCCATGGGATAAACCTTCATATTTTAACATCCTCCCACATTTATCACAAACTGTGTGTTTATCCTTCAGGAAGATGACACACAAGCACAGCGGGAAAAAAATGTGTTTGTGTTGTGTGTTTGTCATGACGGCAGATTCTCTATCTTGCTTGTTTAACAGTAACGCTGAAGACAGTGCCATGCATTAGTGACTATGTGATCAAATTTCCTGTGAAACAGCCTTTTTATTTCATTATTTACCACAGAAAATACCCCTAAGGCACAATTTGTTCTTTGCAGGAGAGCTGTTTGCACAAGCTCCAGTCGACCAGTATCCAGGTTGTGTAGTTGAAGCAGTCACCGACTCCAGCAGGTATTTTGTGATACGGATAGAGGATGGCAATGGTAAGACTTTTTCAACAGGATAATAATTAAATGAGAATGTTTCATATGTAAAATGTCGCAGTATGTAAACTAATTACCCTATTGGTCTTAATGTATGACGACCCTGATTATAGATGATATTAYACAGCTCATATTTTGTAAATCTTTTTTAAATAGGAAATATTAAGTATATCAAATAAAGCAGGTAGCTGTACTGTGCTTGTTGTCTCTTAAATTGAATATCACATGTACGTAAACAACAGAATGAAAAACAAGCCTGCAAATACGACAAACTCTTGTCAGACTTTCTAAGAATATTTTTCCACATCCAGATATCACAATCTTTGATTGTATGGTTGCTGTTAAATAGTTCATTAATGTGGCCCTAAATGATTAAAATAATTTCCATCATTGATCACCATCATGGTGACATACAAATTGTTAAACTTGGCCTGGTTCTCCATTTCTCCAACTGTCTCATGTTGGAGTTGGAAAGTGTCACATAAAAAGTATATGTTAGTATACGTCTATTGTGTAACTATCATACGAACATATTTGTTTATGTGATGTAAAGTTAGTTTGCATCACCTAAAGTTTACTTTTTTGTCTTTACAATTACTTTGATTGAAGGACGTCATGCTTTTATTGGTCTGGGCTTTGCTGATCGTGGAGACTCATTTGACTTCAATGTTGCTTTACAAGACCATTTTAAGKAAGTTACTGCCTGTTGCATGTGTTTTTTTGYACCTAATGTGTATTTACACGTACGACCTATGACTGATCAAGTCTATTTGACCAGCTTAATTTTTCTAGACTCATCTTTGTACTACTGTTTTTGTCTAAATGTGTATTTAATTTCTAACATTTAACCTTGTGTGAGTGGATATTATTATTTTTTATTTAAAAATGAAAATACATTTACAGTATTTGTGAAACTATGTCAATAGCAAGCAACRTGACAATATTTTAAAACTCTCTAGTACGATTGTTAAAATGTTTAACCATTGATCTACAATTTGTTGTCTTCACCATCCCCATTGCATTCTGAAGTACCAACTTAAAGTTTAACTTGACCAAAAGATATTTCCAGTAATAACTGCTATGCTTCCAAACCCCATTTCTAAAGATGGGTGAAGCAAGAGGGTGAGCTCGCAAAACTGGAAGCTTCTGAGAGCGCAGCACCTAAGCTGGACCTGAGCTTCAAAGAGGGACAGACAATCAAGATCAGCATTGGGGTGAGCATGTTACCCAGACGTCACAGATCGAAGGARATGACACCAATGACAACAATATTGAACAAATAAATTATGATTTGAAGTTTTAGAAACGGTTGTAACTCTGTCTACCACAGAACATTAAGAAAAAGGATGCAGGTGGTGTCAAACCTAGGCAAATGGTTGGGGGCCTGCTCCCACCTCCACCAGGCGCAAAGGCTGGAAGCACCATGCAACCTCCTGGAGGACAGCAGACAGTCCCAGCTGTTGAGACTAACACTGGTGATCACCCTGCTCTTCTATTAGATACATTTTTAAAAAATCATTACAGGATGTAAACATCATTCATACTCTACATTATTGTTTTTTCCTCAAATATAGCCTCTCTATTAGACTTTGGTTCCCCCATCCCTGCAGCCCAGCCCAGCTCGGACGGTTGGGGGGATTTCACATCTGCAGGTTCCAAGTAAGTTTTTCAGCATCTTTTTCTTATGTAGTAATACATCCCAGCCATTTGCTCAACATGTATCACTTTTACGTGACTGTTTTTGAGATATTCCTCACTCATTATCACTCTCATCTTCCACCACCTCTCCTCCACAGCTCCAGTAAAGATGCTGTCCAGTCAGGATGGGTGCAGTTTAGTTGAGTTGTGAGAAAACGTGCACGCACTCAGGTTACATACATTCCATGTGCAGGACCATTGTGGCAAAAAGAAAAGAAACTAAGAGAGAGGAACTGTTAGTAAAACTTGACCGGCTCTGTCACTGCACTTGTTCTGTAAAGAGTCTGTTTATGTCGACCATAGCCCGCTGACCAACACATTCTGAAGGAACAAACAGCAAAATGTACTGAATTTTTACAATCCTGCTATTTTTGTCACACTCTGCTATGCAGTGAGGTTTGTCTTTGGATTTTTAGTAGTCTGGTGACCTCTAAACTGTCATTGTTAGGGGCCTCTGCTCTCTCAGAAAAGTGAGCGTCCTGTGGTTGAAAGGCAGGGTGGTCTCATTATACTAACAGGTGTGTGTCCAGTGCCTTAAATCAAATGCTCCTTTATTTTATTCCTACTTTCTCGTCAATCTGTCAAAAACCAGACTTGAATCCTATCCCTCTATTTTTCTTCTGCTGTCACACAGTTATCTCATTACACCAGCACAGCTCATCTCAAAATGATCTTAACATAATGGAAAAACACAATGATTTACATATGTTTTGTTTAGCTTTATGTGTCTGTGTTTGTGTTAGTGATCTTACATTGATGTTTAATAAGTTAGGGCCCGAGCACAGAATGGTGCACATTAGATGGCCCAAACATGCTCGCTGTGCGAACAATTATATATTTTAGGGGTCTAAAATTATTTGGCATGGCAAAATGTCTCAATTGCGCAGTTTAAAAATCAAAGCCCCCTGCTTTAACTTCGCCCTAGATGTATGAAATTCAGGAGATATCTCTCTCAGGCAGAATCCTCCTGGAGCTGTATGCTATACCCAACAGGAAATTCTCCATTTTGAATTTATTGGTCAAATTTCTTTTGCCATTTATACACCTTGTACTTTGATGAATTCACATAGGGAATTAATTTATTCTTCTTCAATTGTGTCGGTCTAATCTTAATACACTGATTGTAATAAATTGCAAACTTTTTTAGTTTCCGGCAATTGCGTGGCGTGAAATTTTGGTGTTTTTTGATTAAAAAAGATGTCCAGTCGCCCACGTACACTCACTACGTACCATTACCTGGATTGCTGACAATCTTCAGTCCTTCAACAATATTTCAACTCCTGAAGAATGTGGAGATGCTTGCTGTCAAAGAGGAAAGAAGCTGGAGATGGTGCCAGGCTTTTTGTACAGGCCACTTTTCAAAGAGGAGGCAATACATTTCTGACTGTTTTATGAGAAAGGAAACCAATAGCAACTCTGGACAAGGCCACTTCTAACGCAACTCCCTGAAAATGGCCTTGTCTTGCAAGATCTTTGATTATTTGTGGGTTGACAGTTAATTTAATGTCTTTGACCTCGGCCCATATTTTCAGTTTTTCCACGTTTTAAAGAACATGTCACAATAAGAAATTCAACCAAGCTGTGGTATAATAATAATATTCTCTTTCAATGAGATAGATGACTATGAGAGCAGAGACTAATACAGAGTTCACAAATAGTTAAGAAATGAAATATGAAAATGCCCATGTGTCAAATTATAGTGCGAGTGCTGCTCACACATCTGATAGGCTTGTGCAAATTATGTATGTATAGTTATAATGTTAAAAAATGGACACAGTAGTACATTAAACATCAATAAACTGCTTATAACCACTCTTAGTATAGCACTACCAGGTTTATTTATACTGAGTGAGCATTGGTAAACTGTCAAATGCTAAATACTTAAGGTAGCTGTGCTTGCTAGCTATATATCTATTAAAATAAAACAACTACTAGCAACGATACTTATTTAACCCAACACTACAAAAAACTATACAATAATTCTTAACAAAAACAAACTTTAAGAACAATGATACTAATAATAGAATAGTAACATGCTTCCACTGTCACATATGATTAGTCTACAAATGCTCTGCGTGCAGAACAGGGAAGGCTTTCGTACTTTGTCTAGGTGGGGATGGGTATTGTCACTGATTTCCCAAATCGATTCGATTCCGGTTCACAAGGTCCAGATTCAATTCAATATCAATTCAGTTAAGGATATTTCCTTGTAATACAAGTTTTTCTTGGATATGAAAGAACTAAATGTTTAAATTGTAACTTTGTGCAATATTAAAAATATTAAGGTAGGCCTGTCACGATGACAAATTTTGTTGGATGATATATTGTCCCAGAAATTACTGCGATAAATGAAACCATTTCACACCACTGATATAATAATATAATAGCATATTAATAACCCTTTCAAAGAGCAATGAACTTTAAAATCTTGAGAATATCAGTCTGACATTTGAATTAGAAATAAAAAATATTAAAACATTTTAAATAAATAAAACATAAGCAAAAAAACCACACACACAACCAAAACAATAAATGAAATCACCCCCAACCAACAGCACCTGAATGCAGCACCAAAAACGAAACTTATTTTTCGCCGGGTGACGGGTGTGAGAGAACTCCGCCTCGCTCCAGGAGAGGAGATGATCGGATCATTTAAATGAGGATCAATTTTAATCAGAGAATATTTCCAAATCCAGCTCTATGTTCAAACAGCAATTCAGAAATCAGGAAATTCTGACAGGGCGAATGCAATTCACTGTTAAATACCAATTCTTTTCTTACCCATCACTATAAAACATTTTTCTTATACCATCTGCTCCCCCTTCTTTCCTTTGTCTTGTGATTATGGTGCAAGTCTACTTACTATATTGTTAGTATCTTTGTCTCTTCTGCCCTTTCAGTTGTCACTCTTGAAATGTTATACACCGTCTCGTTCTCCATTTACAAAGCAGAGGTTTTGTAAATTATGAGTAGAATCTATTATATCACATACATGTGCTGATCTATCCAAGAGCAATGGCCCTTTAATACTCCTTGCACCTTTAATGTTCTTAAACCCTCTTTAGAAATACAATTTTTCGTCACTGTGTTGGGATAGAGTCATGATTGCCATTTTGTCTGGGATTCATTTGAAAATGTTTATCTGTTCATGTTTGTTTTTGTCTACACCCTCTATGTCTTTTCCTTGTTTGTTTTTTTTAAATGTGCCTTTTACCAAATTAAATTTTCCTGAATCTGAAAAATTTGCAATAAGAATTTGATCAAGTGCCTTTCTGAAAAAGACCTAAAACATGTTTTGTTTTCTTGTAAATAAACAATGTATTTCATTGGCTCTTTGTGAGTGTAAATCAATGAAATAACCAGTGTCTGCCTGTGGAATTATGGAGAGAATTTAATCTGAAATTGTTTGTTCTCTGAAACTCGTGTCAGAGTTCTTCACATTTGCGAGTTTAAAGGTTAACACTGCATCAAATAATAAAAGTGTTGATAATATAGAACATGAAGTCACCTTTGAATCATGTTAATCTAAAGAATGTTAAAAGATAAATATGTTCAGTTTGATATCTTTTATTTTAGACTGTCAATTGTTCCATGGTCTACAGTTGTAAAATATTCAAATCATTTCAGTCACTTCATTTTCCCTCGAGAGAAATTGTGTCATTGTGAATGGATTCATATAGAGACTATATGCAATTGCCACCTGATGCCTGTATGAATATACAGTTATTTTCTGAAGTGTTTCAACATTATTTCATTTATATGTATTTGCAGAGGTAAAAGTATAAGTACAGATACTTGTGTAAAAAAGGACTGGTAAAAGTAGAAGTACAGGCTCTGAAATGTACTTAAGTACAAAAGTAAAAATTAATGTTTTACTTCAATGATACATGATAACTCTTAAGATAAATTAAAAAAGTTGTAGGCAAACAAAACAGGATAGTTTTCCTCTTTTAAAAACCTGCACAGAGCTGGTACAGAGAAAATAATCCCTGTACACAGTCTAGTTTTGCTGCAAAATGTCAGACAGAATAATAAAGACTGAACTGAGTCCTGCATAAGCACCTGGATCATTTTTGCAAGGAATAAGTGGATGGAGAATGTGCTGGCCTTCATTAAGTCCCTGCCCTTTGTACACACCCCCTGTYGCTACTACCGATTGGATGGTTTAGTGAGGTCCTCGGATCGACCCMGCTGGAGTCGGTCACGGCCCTGGCGGAGCGTCAAGAAGACGATCAAACTTGACTATCTAGAACATGGAGAGAATGATAAACTCTTGTGTGAGAGAGTGGTCCCAAGATGTCTGAGCAACATCGGACATGACATCCTTGAGCTGCCTATCTCAAGTCTTGTAGAGGAACAGGACGGAAAAGGACACCAAAAGAAGCCACTTACCATGCTGACATTGTGGGCCACATTCAACAGGGAAGAGGAGGTTTGGGCCTAGGTCAGATTAGACCCCTGTGGAACAAGGCAACTCATTCAGAGAAGCGAAAATTGGTAGTCCTGGAAATCCRGCATCAGGACGAGGCAGCAAGATGTCCAAAGGCGGTCACTCAAGCAAAACAGGGGCTGTGAATGGAATGGGGAGCATAGAGAAAAGGAAGATCAGCTGGAAGGACCTGTGAGAAATGGAAGCAAGCAGGATTAGCTTCCTGCTTAGAGTAACCTATGACGTCCTTCCCTCACCCAAAAAAAAAACCTGAGGCACATCCTCACTGGTTGTAAAATAAGTCTCTTCCGAGGTAGGTATACGTGGAGACACAACCATTTTAAAACATGATGGCTGATTAATTAAAGGTACAGTGTGTAGAATTGTNCATACATGCCCTTATTTGCCTTAGGAACAGCCACTGGACTTGAACTGAGTTCTGCATTCTTTCCAGGTATGATGTGCACATAGATGAGATCAGAAAGCTGTTTTGTGAATGCAAGAACCTTTTCAGATGTAGGCTTTTTCAGTGTTTGGAAAGCATAACTTTCATTTCCACCTCCCTGCTTGTCCTGCTTCAGAAGCACAGCATCAATACTATCTATCAGTGAGGTTATTGCCAGCCCGCTTTTGAATTCAGTCTCCTTCYTGAATTTCTTTGCGAYCTGTGTCAGTATTTGGAGCRTCCCTGCTGATGCAAAAGTYTTTATGAAAAGCCTATTGATTGTCCGCATTCCTTTACAGATTGAGGAGCTTGGCTCTTGAGATTCCCTCCCCTTTTTGCTTTCCTTAAGGATTGACTCAATAATTTCATCTAAAGCCTCATAWATCTCTGGAGAAATCAAAGCATTGAGCTTAAGACTCTCATTGAACTCATTAAAGAACGTTGTGATRTCAGTCAAACTATTGTTGATTGTTTCCTGGATAATCCTCTTTACACTTTCTACACTACTGGTTGGTGAACCCTCTGAGGAAATTCYCAACTTGGAACTGATTTGTGACGATTGGGAGCTTGAAGAGGTCCTAGCCATCTGAACAGAATGGTCTGTAGTGCTCTGCTCTTCTGAGGAAATGGAATGACTTTGCCTGGGAGATTGACTCTTGAACAAGCGTGTGATCTCTTTGTCTGCCTTTAACGTCTTGCAGGCATAACAGATCATCTTCTGGAGTTTACTGGGATTAATGGTGCGGGATGGTATAGTCTTCCCAGACCTCACAGAGGTTGAGCTTGCAGACAAGATGGAGTTGACAGTCTTCGTCACCTCCTCTACAACCAGCTCTGTGAGTTGATCCAAACTCTTAGAACATTTTGTGTTGCCTGGTGAAAAACCGTTATTGACAGTGTCGCCCAGAATGGACCGAACCCTTTCCTGAGACACAGGTACGTGGGTACCTCGCTTCGAAATGGCATTGGAAACGGTCATCATTAAGTTCAGCAGAAGATCTGCCAACAGTATTGTTGTAGCTTCATCCGGTTTGCTGGACTTCAACAGCCGCCACTGCTCCGCAGTGATCTTCATAAAAAAGGAATTGAAGTATGGGCGGACAGTCTCAGCATTTATGGCTGATTGGYTACCAGATTGGASAGTCAGTGTCTGAGTTGTCTCCATTGCARCTGTTGTATCAATATGTGTATGCCAAAAATGGTTTTCTTTGGGCTGTTCACACTGAGTTTTCCAAAGTGTCTTGTGAAGAATCTTTTGTTTTTGCCAAATGGCTGGTTTATAAAGACTGATTCTTCACTTCCTTTTTGTTTTTGACTAAAGGATGATTTAAAAGGATTAAAGCATTATAGGTAATTAAGGCAAAGAAATCAAAGAGAGGAGGTTAAAGGAATTGAATGATCAAAGGAAACTGCAAATGAGAAGCAGCCCCACCCCTCAACTGTGCCTGTAATATAGGCAGATGAAAGGTAATCACTCATTGAACTTAGCCTGGTATTAGGCTTTGGTTTCACAGACAATATSTGTGCTTGCTCCATCCACTCGGATYAACCTGGTATTGCAGTAMCTCAAGGAAMTGTGCAACAACTCAGTAGATGGTGGTAATGCACCTTGATGTTGGTTGCCACTCGCTAATAAACCAAACAAAGAAGAAGAAAGAAGAACTATATCTATTCCTAAAAGTTTTACTTGATACAAACACATAATTACTATCATATTACAGGAATTATATGTGATGTAAAAGATCACTTATTTTTAAACAGTGAAAGAAATGGAGCAAACCCTGCAAGGTAGTTCAGGCAGCCAACTCGAGCTGTGCTGCTCACATCATGTGACATACCTCATTCTCCATAATCATCTATTATACACACCCACCTTATTAGGCGGCCTATTTAAGCAACCCCTTTGCTTGCAATGCTGCTGCAGTATTACTACCAGTTGCTTCAGCCCCTCCACCACCCCAGCATCCACATGTACTACAGCAATATCAATGTAGCAGTGGGGCAAGCAAAGGGAGTAATGGGAACATTTTCTCTGCTTAAATAGACAGCTGGTTGTGTATTATAGATGATTGTGGAGAATGAAGTATGTCACATGATGTATGTGTAGCCCATAGACTGTATATAAAGAGTGTGTGGCACTATGCTAGGGTTATGGCACCCTGATTGCTGGGCGGCATCGGTCTGCTGCTTATAACCGGGTGAGTGGCCACACCACGCCCCTTCCTTCCACTCTGTGCTCCCTCTCGGGTGGTGGCTGGCGTGGCGTGTTATACCTCGGGGCGCAGGTGTGCATGTGTGTGGATGAATGTGTTTTAATAAGTGACCATTGTTGTTTCTTTTTGGCTATCAGTTTACATTTTATGTACTCATGGCATGATTTTAACTTTTCTTTTTGTGTTAGNTGATCTCTGATGATATTGACTGCCTCGGTGTGTCCTCCTCAATGCTGCTGATCTCTGATGATGTTTCTATTGAGTCAATGGCATTTAAAGCCTCTGTCACCCTGTCTGTGTGGCTGTTAACCTGGTTATTCAGCCACCAGCTTATCAAGGACAGGAAACAAAACACTCTGGTCTGTATGTCTGCATACATGCCCTTATTTGCCTTAGGAACAGCCACTGGACTTGAACTGAGTTCTGCATTCTTTCCAGGTATGATGTGCACATAGATGAGATCAGAAAGCTGTTTTGTGAATGCAAGAACCTTTTCAGATGTAGGCTTTTTCAGTGTTTGGAAAGCATAACTTTCATTTCCACCTCCCTGCTTGTCCTGCTTCAGAAGCACAGCATCAATACTATCTATCAGTGAGGTTATTGCCAGCCCGCTTTTGAATTCAGTCTCCTTCYTGAATTTCTTTGCGAYCTGTGTCAGTATTTGGAGCRTCCCTGCTGATGCAAAAGTYTTTATGAAAAGCCTATTGATTGTCCGCATTCCTTTACAGATTGAGGAGCTTGGCTCTTGAGATTCCCTCCCCTTTTTGCTTTCCTTAAGGATTGACTCAATAATTTCATCTAAAGCCTCATAWATCTCTGGAGAAATCAAAGCATTGAGCTTAAGACTCTCATTGAACTCATTAAAGAACGTTGTGATGTCAGTCAAACTATTGTTGATTGTTTCCTGGATAATCCTCTTTACACTTTCTACACTACTGGTTGGTGAACCCTCTGAGGAAATTCTCAACTTGGAACTGATTTGTGACGATTGGGAGCTTGAAGAGGTCCTAGCCATCTGAACAGAATGGTCTGTAGTGCTCTGCTCTTCTGAGGAAATGGAATGACTTTGCCTGGGAGATTGACTCTTGAACAAGCGTGTGATCTCTTTGTCTGCCTTTAACGTCTTGCAGGCATAACAGATCATCTTCTGGAGTTTACTGGGATTAATGGTGCGGGATGGTATAGTCTTCCCAGA